GCTAATAAAAAAAAAGAAAGAAAAAGAAAAGAAAGGACACTATGAACTCATCTACAAAACAGAAACAGACTCGCAGACATAGCAAATGATCTTATGGTTACCGGGGAAAGGGGGTAGGAAGGGATAAATTTGGGATTTTGAGGTCTGCAAATTTTAGCCACTATATATAAAAATAAATTAAAAACAAACAAACAAGTTTCTTCTGTAGAGCACAGGGAACTATATTCAATATCTTGTAATAACCTTTAATGAAAAAGAATATGTAAACAAATATATGTAAGTATATGCATAACTGGGACATTGTGCTGTGCACTAGAAGTCAACACATTATAACTGACTGTACTTCAGTTTTAAAAAATATAATAAATAAATAAAGTGACATTGGTGGAAACTCCCCCTCAAAAAAGAATACTTTATAAATGGAGTCATACAATATGGAATCTTTTGACATTTCCTTTTTCTCATCCAGCATAATTCCCTTGAGGTCCATCTTCGTGGTTGACTGTATCAATAGTTTGTTCTTTTTTATTGCTGAGTAGTACTCCATTTAAACTACTGTTTATTTAACTATTCACCTGCTGAAGAACATCTGAGTTGTCCCAACTGATTTTTGACAAAGGTGCAAAAAACAGTTCAATGGTGGGGAGGACAGTCTTTCAAACAAATGATGCTGGAGGAGTTAGATATCCACAGGCAAAAAAAAAAAATAAAGCTCTATCTAAACCTTGCTGCTTATATACAAAAATTAACTCAAAATGTACCACAGACTTAAATGTGAAATGTAAAACTATAGGCATGGGGGGTATATCTCAGTGGTAGAGCACGTGCTTGGAGTGCATGAGGTCCTGGGTTCGATCCCCAGTGCCTCCGTTAAGGGTAAAAAATAAAATAAAATAAATTTTTTAAAAGAGTAAAAATCACAATGATACTTATTTTCATTAATTTATTTTTTAAAATTTTTTGTGGGGAAATGTAATTAGGTTTACTTATTTGTTTTATTTTTAGAGGAGGTGCTGGGGATTGAACCCAGGACCTTGTGTCTTTTCGCTTTCTTGATGGCATACTTTGAAACAACTTCCTCCTCCATTCAGAAACAGGACCGGGCAGCCAACGGTTATTAGACACAGAGGGAAAACCAAAAAGTAAAGAAGGATTCCAAACCCAAATCTGAGGCAACAAAAATCAGCTTCCTTGGGGTCACTGGCGAGGCTGTTGCATCCATAAGACAATAAATAACAGTTTACTATGGAAAGGGAAAAATCCACAAACAGAAAAACTTGAAATTTAAAAATATCATTGCCAAAACCAGGACAACCACTATTAAGTCAATCAGTCACCTGCAAGGCCAAGGACACATCCCTAACATATCCTACAAAGGAAGATGTAGAATTATCTCTAAATGCAGGTACACATGCTCAATATACAAAACCATTTGTATTTCTATACACTAGCCATGAGTAATTGTAAAATAAAATTAAGAGAAGTTCCATTTCCAAAAGCATCAAAAGTGGTAACATACTTAGGAATAACTTTAACAAAAGAAATACAAGACTTGTGCACTGACAATGACGAAACATCATCGAAAGAAATGTAAAAAGACCTAAATAAATGGTAAATGAGTGGAAAGGCATTTCATGTTCAAGGAGAGGCAGACTTAACCCTGTTAGGATGGCAACATTCCCCAGATTAACTGCTGATTCAACACACTCCCTATTAGAGCCTAAGCTGAGTCTTCTTAGAAACTGATAAGCTGACCGTAAAATTCATATGGAAATTCAGAGGACCCAGAAGAGCCAAAGCAACCTTGAGAAAGAAAAGCAAAGTTGGAGAACTCATGCTTCCTGATTTCAAAAGTTATGCCAAAGACACTTTAAACAAGACACTGTCGATATGGCATAAGGTCAGACATAATGGATCAGTGGAACAGAACTGACAGTCCATAACTAAATCCCCACATTTAGAGTCACTCGAGTTTTGACAGCGGTGTCAAGACAGTTCTGTGGGTAAAGTCAAGTCTTTTTAAGAAGCAGTGCTGGGATAACTGGTTACCTAGTTGGAAGAGAATGAACTCAGACCCCTTCCTCTCACCATGTACAGAAACTCACTCAAAATGGATAAGGGACCTAAACGGAGGAGCTAAAACTATTCAACTCTAAGAAGAACACATCTGAGTAAATCTTTGTGACATTGGATTAGGCAATGGTTTCTTGACTATGACACCAAAAGCACAAGCAACAAAAGACCAAAAAAAAGGTAAACTGGCCTCCACCAACATTTAAAACTTCTGTGCTTCAAAGTATACCATCGAGAAAGCGAAAAGACAATCCTCAGAATGAGAGAAAACATTTGAAAATCATATACCTAGTGAGCCCTGTATCTGGAGTATATAAAGAACACCCACACCTCAATGATAAAAAGATAAATAGTCCTATTTAAACAAACGAACAAAAAACAGGCAAAGAACACAAAACAGGATACACAAATGGCCCATAAGCACATGAAAGATGCTAAACATCATTTGCCATCAGGAAAATTCAAATCAAATCCTCAGTGAAACGTCACTTCACATACCCCAGGAGGAGTACTATTAAAAGCCGCTGAGGGAGTGCAGAAACAGGAGGGCAGGGAGGAGAAGGATGGAGGTCAGGACTGTCAGCTGTTAGACCTGGCCCATGTGTCATCATTATAATGAGACATGATGTTAACGTCACGTACTATGTGCGAAAATTTTTAAATGAAGAAGTAAACCTAATGCTATTCCAATGAGGAAAAAAATCAAAAGAAAGGATGTGATCAGATTAACCGATAAAACAGAAGAGAACATGACGACTCCTTAAAACCCCCAGAGAAGGCCCTGCAGAGATTCCTTAACAGGATGAGAGGCATCGCAGGGCGGGGTGGGCTGCGGGGAAAGAGCAGGGCAGGTAAGGAAGGAGTGTGAGGAGATTAGCGGGCCGGTTCAGCCAGATGAGCTCCTGCCCCAGAGCTCAGGCAACACACAGAAGACTTACCGGCCTCCCCAACCCCACTGAAGAATGTGGGCCTGGCCGTGAAGAGAGGTCAGGGCAGATCCTGCGGTAACACTGGCCCTCTCAGCTGTCCAGAGGAAACACAGCCCTAAATACTCTGTTTACCAAGAAAGGAATGAACCGATCTGCACAGCTGGCCAGCATGGGTTTCTTCTACTGTTCGTCTTGGGCCTGTCTTGGGCCGTTTTCCCCAAGGCCCCTTCTTCTTATTCAGGAAGCTGCATCCTGGGAGGGTGCTCAGATACCGGTCCCTCCTGGGAGGAGGAGGAGGGCCCTCCAGTCTACACCCTCTTACTCAGAGAAAACTGACAACACCAGCTCCTCATGCAAATCAACTTCCTCCGCCATTCAGAAATAGGACCGGGCAGCCAACTGTTATTAGACACATAAGGAAAACCAAAAAGTAAAGGATTCCAAACCCAAATCTGAGGCAACAAAAATCAGTTTCCTTGGGGGTCACTGGAGAGGCTGTTGTATCCGTAATACAATAAGTAAGTTTACTATGGAAAGGGAACAATTCACAAACAGAAAAACTTAAATTTAAAAATATGATTGCCAAAACCAGGACATCCACTAATAAGTCAGTCACCTGCAAGGGCAAGGACACATCCCTGAGCATGGAGGAAAACCCTGAGACCCACAATGGCAAGTGCTGGTACTCCCCGCCCCCACCCCGCCATCGCTGGCCAAAGTACAGAAGTCCCAGAACATCCATCCCCGTGAGACTGAGGTGATGGGTAGCCTCATACCCTGGAGGTGGAAGCATAAAATGGCACATTCTTTTTGGAAGTTAATTCAAGTATCCGTGAACATTTAAAATGAGGGGTTAAATGTATTTATAGTGAAATACAAAATACATGCAAAAATGACTATAAAACACATATAAAGTTTAAATATATGTACACAGTTTAAAGAAGAATAATGGGAAAAAAATCTGTGTACCACCCCTACCCAGCTCAGGAAACAAAATATTACCACCAGCCAGCTTAAGAAAATGAGTATTATGCTTCAAAATAGTTTGAGAAGGAGTAGGAAGATAGGTGTGCATGAAACAATATTTGCAGTGATTTGCTAATTACTGAAAATAGATGATGGATACCTGGGGGCTCGTTACACTAAACTACTTTTACATATGTAGGGAATTTCCCGTAAGAATGGAAGGAAGGAAAGAAGGAAGAGAGGGGAGGGAGGGAAGCAATATCACTAAGAACCTTCAAATCCACCAGTGTTCCTCCCAGAAGACAATGGTATTCACTCATTTAAAAATGCCACATATACAGCCAACTAATTGACAAGGGAGCCAAGAACACTCAATGGGGAAGATAGTCTCGTCAACAAATGGCACTGGGGAAACTGGATATACATGTAGAAAAATGAAACTGGATACACATGTAGAAAAATTAACTCTAAGTGGATCAAAGACTTAAAAGACCTGTTACTGTAAAACTCCTAGAAGAAAACACAGGGTACAAGTTCCTCGACATCGGTCTTGGTGATGCTTTCTTAGATTTGACATCAAAAGTGCAAAAAACAACAAGAGCAAAAAATAAAACAAGTGGGGCTACATCAAACTAAAGCTTCTGCAAAAGAAACTGAACAAAATGAAAAGGCGATCTATCAAAAGAGAGACAGTATTTGCACACCGTAGACAAAGAATGTCGCCTGCCATTTCAGTGGAGACAGAAGATGTCGCAACCATGGAGCCAAGAGCCAGCGCACCTGCCTGCAGAGGTGCACAGAGAAAAACAGGATACTAGCCCTAGGTAGTTAAGAGGCGTATGAAAGGAATGATTTCAATAAGCTCAGACACTTGCATCTTCTCATACGTAGAAAAGCACTACAATTACTAACTTGAGATGTCTGTTTCTTGTGATTAGCAGTCATCTTTTGATGTGCTATTACATGTTGGTTTTTCCCAGCCCAAACTCCTATATATTCTAGCTCCTCCCTTACCTCTTGGGAACAATCCCTCAGAGCTGAGGGCTGGAGTTCTCAGCAAGGTCCCTGAATAAAACATAATTCTCAACTTTTAGGCTGTGCATTTTTTTTTTCAGTCAACAAAACCATATATCTGATAAGGGGTTAATATCCAAAATATATAAAGAACTTATACAACTCAATAGCAAAAAACCCCACAAATAATCCAATTAAAAAATTGGCAGAGAAACTATATACTCTTCCAAGGAACACAAATGGCCAACAGGTAGATGGAACGATGCCCAGCATTGCTCATCGTCAGGGAAATGCAAATCAAAACAACCATGAGCTACCACCTCACACCTGTTAGAATGGCTATCTTTAAGAATACAAAAGATAACAAGTGAGGATGTGAAGAAAAGGGAACCCTTGTACGCCATTGGTAGGAATGCAAATTGGTTCAGCCACAACAGAAAAAGTATAAAGTCTCCTCAAAATATTAAAAATAGAACTACCAGCTGATCCAGCAACTCCAGTTTTGGAAATACATCCAAAGGAAATGAAAACAGGCTATCAAAGAGATATTGGTACTCCCATGTTTATTGCATCATTCACAATAGCCAAGGTATGGAAGCAACCTACGTATCAGCAGATGAATGGATAAAGAAGATGTGGTACGTATACACAATGGAATAATATTCACCCGTGAGAATGAAGGAAATTCTGCCATTTGCAACAACAGTGGGTGGACCTTGAGGACATTACGCTAAGTGAGGTAAGTCAGAGAAAGACAAAGACTGTACGATATCACTTATGTGTAGAATCTAAAAAAGCCAAAATCATAGAAACAGAGTAGAATGGCGGTTACCAGGGGCTGGGGGTGGGGAACTGGGAGAGATGTGGTTTAAGGGCACAAACTTGCAACTAGTAGGCGAACAGGTCCTGGAGATCTAACGTGCAGCAGGGTGATCATGGACAACAGGACCGTGTGACATACATCAAACCTGCCAGGAGACTTGCTTATTCCCACCACAAACAGGAAATGATAACTATGTTAAGGGATGAAGGTGTTAACTAGTGCTACAGTGGCAATCACGTTGCAAAATAGAAATGAATCAGGTCCATATGTTGTAAACCTTAAACTTACACATATGACATATGTCAATCATATCTCAATAAAATTAAAAAAAACTGTCACAATTCTGTGGCTGAACATTGGTTGCTTCCAGTTTTTTGCTGTCCTGAACAGTCTAGCTGTGAGCCTTCCATTATGAGCACACCCCGCACATGAGTAAGCTTCTCAGGCAGCATATCTTGAAAGACTAACACTGCACCAAGGGCTCTGTGCGCATTAACCCTTACTTGGAAACAATAAAGTATGGTCCAAAGCGGTTCCATGAACGTACATCCCTTTAGCATACGCATACTAGGGGTAGAGATATATATATATATATATCTCCCATAACATTACTAATGAATTATCTCCAGCTCATTTTAACTTTCTTTTATGTAATTGCCAAATTTTATAGGCTAAATGTGTATCAATAACTTTAAATTCCGAAATGTCTGTAGACAAATATGTAATTACACACAGTATAATAAGCTGCAAATATGCACAGAGTGCATTGTAGTGGCTCCCCCAACCCCCTCACCTCCAGGCTCCGTTGACCACTTCCAGCTCCAGGACAGACTGCAGACGCTGGCAGTGAAGGGCCTCCAAGGTGATGTTCACTCTGCACTTCCCCAGCGACGGAACCAGGCCACTCGAGGGCTCGATGTCGAAGGGAGACGCCTGATGGGAAGGTCAGTGGCGAGGATGAGGGTTGGGGGCTGGCCGTGACCAGCCAGGGTCATACCCAAGCTGCCTCCGGCTCTACAGAGAGCTTCTAGGATGCAGGAGGCAAGCATCCAGATTTCTCCTTTGCACCCACATGGTCTCTCCCCCACCCCTTGACCTCACCCCCACTGCAGGCTTGTTCTCATTCACCCAGGCCTGCCCCCCTCCCACATACCAGGCTCTAAGAGGTAAGAGGAAAGGCTCAGGAAGAAGTGTGCACCTACGGAGGGCTTTCTCTGCCCCTCTTCCCGTCCTGGATGAGACTGGGTGCAGTAGCCTGACTGTGAGGTCCCCTGGCCCCAGATGGGCCACACTGGCCAGCAGGGAGTCACTAGACATTGAAAGATCACAACCAGGAAGAACACTGCTTCTCTTTGGTCTCTTCCTTCCTTAAGACCAAGACCAGGAGGGCAAGACACCTGCCTGTAGGGAGACCTGGCCACCCCCTGCTGGCCAGAACTGCCCTGTCCTACCCCGGCCGCCTCGCTGTGCTGTCTTGTTCTGAGTTCCCACCTCCCTGGCACTGGAGGGTGGGGTGGGCTGGCCTTAGCCGCAGGAAGAGCGGCTGGGGCGCCCTGGCCTGGCTCACCAGGGCTCAAGCACTGGCGTTTGGGCCCAAGCTTGGCTGGTTAGGAAATAGCGCCTTTGCTTTCTTTGCTCTTTGTTCCTCACGTGTATCTCCTTTGGAGCTCAGGGTGTATGACTGTGGTCTGGGGGCTGGGTTTCTGGGTCTCCTGACCTGAGGACATCTAACCAACCCCAAATTTCAACATTACTTTTGAGAGCGCAAAAGAACACAGTGCAGAGAACCGTAGAGACAGGATTTCTACCAACCTCGACTAGGACACAAACCTTAGTACACTGTGAAACTGACAATTACTACGATTATGAAATGTAGTTATTCTGCACAGTGGGAGCAAAACACAGACTGGGAATTAGAGAACTGGGATTTGATGTGATTCCACCACCTGAGAGCTGTACGAGCCTTGGGAAGGCGCTGTTTCTCCACTGTCAAATGAGGAAGTTGGCTGAGGTCTGTAAATTGCCAACTGTGCTCCGAGAAGTCCCAGAAATTGCTCAGAACTCCTAGGGCAGGGGAGTGGAATGTGGGGAGAGGCAGGTTGGGGCAGGGATGGCTAAAGAGACTACCTCCAGGTGCCCAGAGCAGGCACACTTTATTCTAGATCCTGGGCTTCTGCCAAAGGTTTCGTTGGAAGAAAAGGTTCCTGCCCAAAGATACTGGTCCCATCCTGCCCCCAGGTCCCAGTCCCAGCCTCTGTGGTTCTGTGAGCCAAGCAGGGAGACAAGTGCGCCCTGGGAGGGCCAGCACTGACTCCAAGCTTGTAGGACAGGCCAGTTGGCAATGCTTTCCTGGCAATGGTGTTGGCAGTTTGGTGCAAACTGTCATAACTTCTAAGTTTCAGAGTGTCCAGAAGGGAAGTGAAGCCAGCAGGTAAAGAATGGCTCTTGGCTGGAAAGAAAAAGTCCTGGAGAAGGGAAGGAACATTGGCAGATAAGATGCATATGTGGCTGTGACTGTCTTTCCTCAACTCCTGGATGTGGAAGGAAAAATGTACAGCGTTCTGATCAGGAGGGGAAGTGGGCGGCAGGGAGGGAAACCCTGGTAGGAAGCAGCCAGAGGGAGGGTGCTAATATCAAACACACCCGGCCAGACTCTCACAGTGCAATGGCTGCTTCCACGGAGCTGCAACCACCAAGTCCCAGTGTGAAGAGGGGGCGTGGTGAGCCAGTGATGTCCAGCTGCCTGCCCATGAGTAGGGAGCTAACGATGCTGGGTGTGACTTGGTTATGTTCCGGATTATACATCACATTTAAACATGATGCCATAATTTAAACGTGATGGTGATCATACTTAGTCACTTTTTAATATTTTTCTATCTTTATAGTAAAAGGAAAAGCGCTATTTGAGTGGAAAGGATGTTCCTTTTGGAGCCTTTCGGTTTGAGCCACAAGCCTCTGACCAAACACCACCTGGTGGCAGGTACTCAAACTGCAAGCACTGTCCCTGGGAGGCTGGGAACCTGTGGAGTCAGCCTGAGGGCCCGCCCCTCCCTGAAGGCCTAGGGAGCTTCCCTCCTGACTCAGCTGCCTGTTTGCTTCCTGACTCGGGCTGTTCTGATGGAGGGAGAAACCCCTGTCCTATTTCTGCGTCAGAAGGTAGAGAAAGGAACAGGAAAATCCAGTTCAGGGTTAAGTTCTGCTGTAAAAGGGACCCCCAACTGCCTCAGAGATGAGGAAAGGGGGGCACTGCCAGGCAAAAGTCACCAGGCAGGCCTTCTTCCCCGCTCTGCTGTCTCTGCACTCGCATGCACCAGCACGAGCTTCAAGCTCAAACCCCAGGGTTAATTGGCTCCTGCGGGGAGGGGGCACCACCAGAGCCCCAGCTCCTGACTTACATCCGCCTGCCGTTCTCCCAGGCAGACGCGGCTCTCCTGCAGGTACCACGTCGCCGGGAGCTGGCTGACGTTCTGAATCTGGATGGAGCTGGTGGCCTTTTGGCCCAGCCGCAGCAAACCGAACTGCAGGGCTGAGACGTCGATGACGAGGGCAGGCCCCTGAGACACCCAGAGGGGACTGTCACTGGGCTACCTGGATGTGGGCTCCGTGCCCTGCCCTGGCCACCATTCTGGCCCGCCCAGCTGTCCCGCCCCACCCTCGGCACCTTAAAGGCTGCCTCGATGTGCAACACCACTGGGGACGGGGAGTCTTTGATTTCACACAGTAGGTTCTGGCTGGTCGGGCCGGGGACACCCCCAGTGAAGCTCAACTCAAAATCCTCGACCTCGCTGGGCTCTGGGAGAGACAGGAGAGGTGTAGAAAGGACGCAGGGGCAGGTACCCTCTGGGGCCGGGCCCAGATGCCTGGCCTTTGCTGACTCCTCATCCACCACAGGGGCCAGGTGGCGGCTGGCGCTCATCCCGGGCTGGCCCTGAGCCCCTGCATAGGCCCCTCTCGCCGTGAGGTCTCCTTCCCCAGCCAGCCCCTCTCGTGGTCCCCATGGTACCAATGGTCCCTGTGCAGGGCTCCACTTCAATGATGTGGCAGTCACTGATCTTGCCCCATGTGTATCTGATGGCCGACTTGCTGTTGTTCCACATCTGGAAGACACACCCCAAGTCAGGCTCCCCAGGGACTGCCCTCACAGGTAAGATCTGGACTTGTCAAAGGACTGCAGGATTGTGGGCTCACAAAAGGTCCTCTCAACAGCCTGAGCTAAATCCTGACCATGCAACAAACACTGTGGGAGTTGTGGGCGCCATATCTGGCCAAAGGCCCACGATCACAGGAACAGGTTCCACAGTTCTGTCATTCAGAGGATGCTGGGAAGCTGACAGAAAGACAGACATGCCCAGCATCTGTGCAAACCACGTGGGCTCCGGGAATAGCTCGTCCTCTGCGCAGTGGCCACTACCGTTGGCCCCGCCAGCCACCTTCTCCCCACACGCCCAAGTTCAGCACCAACTCAGCCAGCCTAGGCTAGGGAGGGACAATGACCTACCTTAAAATCTTTCTTCACGTTTATGCCAATGTAGTTCTCCCCGGGGATGATGAGGGCATATGGTTCTAAGAGAACCTGGAAAGGTTCTACTGAGCCTTTCACCTCGACTTCCAGGACGATCACATCATCCACAGAGTATGAGGGGTCCTTCAGGTTTTCCAAATCCAAGCTGAACACAAACCCACCATGAGCTCGGAGCCAACATATCCCCTCTCTCTGGTCTTGTGAAAAGAAAGCACCCACCCCCTACACACAGCTCCCAAGCCCCCAAGCCCCCTGAAATTAGAGGCATCAGCGACGGACGCAAACAGCTCAACCATAGGCCTGGGGCAGGTGCACCTCCTTGACCTCGACAGTGGGTTTAGGGACGATATGGAAGAGGTGCCATCACGGGGCAAAACCTTCCCTCATTAGTCACCACCATCCAGGGGCCACCAGCCTAGCTGTCTGGCAGTAACCATGAGCCTGGGGCACAGCTCCAAGGTGCCAGGGTGGCCTACGGTGCTCATGGTGAGTCTGTTAGCTCTGTTTCCTGCACGTGGAGCCAGGCCCGGGTACCCAGGCAAGCAAAGCGCTCCCACGCATCAAAGCTTGCTGGGGGTCAGGTGGCTCATTCACTCCCTTCCCCACAGCCCCCATCGGGAGGACAGGCCCCACTGCCCGCCTCTCAGCCGGGGCCCAGTTCCCACTCACCTCATGGGCTCTGGGACTTCCTCTAGCACCATCTGGAGCACACTGTGAAAATTCCTCAGCTGTAAC